TTATATATATTTTTAAATTTTTGTTTTAATATTATTTTTTATTGATGCCAATTTTCATTAATTCACATCAATGTTGACTATAAAATTATTGATTAATGATATTAAATGACTCAAATAAATGCATTATAATTATAGTATTAAAGCCATTTTCAAATCTACTTTGAAGACAGCTCAAATTTCATATTGCATTTCAATTCATTCAGGCGAAATTTCCAGACATGTTTCCCAATGCTCGTTTATTACTTTAACCTCAGACAGTTGACGCCATGAAACGCTTTTGACTGCCATAAGTCGATTTATTATGCTCGAGAAATACTTTACAAATTCCTCAATAATTTGCTAGATTCAACGTGCCAAAAATTTATTTTTGGCAACAAGCAATTTGCATTCATATTCTTCCTCCTCTTCTTCGTCTTTTATGGTTGCAAGTTGCAACTGCGAATGCAGCTCACATCTAGCGTGACTACGTGTTTGTGCCCGTAAAAAGTGAGATTTTACCTGTTACTTTTTTTAATTTATATTAAATTGTGGCAGGAGGCAGCACGTTTTTTTTTTTTTTTTATGTTGGAGTTGGGCTTTTATTTATTTTTTTTTTTTTTTTGGCTCCAACTGGGGAGGGGCTTGGCAACATGCCAGAGGGGTTTCGCTTGGGGCTGCGTAGTTTATGATACGGATTCCTGATATTCCATTTGTTGTTCCGTTTTCGTTGCAGTTTTCGCATCAATCGCATCGAGTCGCCCATACTGAAGTACGAGGGGGATTGCGGCGAATCGCTGACCATCTACGACTCGGATCATGCGGATCCGGCGCGCATCATCAAGACCTTCTGCGACACCTTCTCGCGGCCCATGGAGAAGGTGGACTTTGTGAGCACCAGCCCCTCGCTCTACGTGCAGTTCGAGTCGAAGACGGGCAGCTATAGCGGCAGCTCACTGTACTACTGGGCGCACTATGACTTCTTCAACAATACACGATTCGGTGATCCGGTGCCCAACACGCTCTGCGACGAGGTCATGTACGCCTGGAAGCATCCGGGCGGACGGCTCCGCTCGCCGCTCAACTCGCTCATCTTCAAGCGAACCGGCGGCAGCGACGTCCGCTGCCAGTACAAATTCGTGACGGACCGACGGCTCTATGCCCGCGCCATAATCGAGGTGAACTCGGTGTCCTTCAAGGAGCTGCCCTACAACAGCAACGCCTGCACGCGCTGCCACGAGGAGCGCGTGGACAAGCTGGTCATCTGGGAGGAGCGCGACAAGTTCCAGAACAACTTGGCCTGCTTCTGCGACAATATACCGCGAGCGGTGCGCGTCATCTCGTCGGCGGACCAGATGAATCTCGAGATGATTGTGCAGGGCCAGCATGCCATCACCTCGTACTTCAAGAATCCCAATCCGCTGTTCGAGGCGACCTACGAGTTCGCCCACGGCCCGCTCTGCGGCCCCATCACACTGGGGCCCTCGCCGGATGGGGAGCTCGTCTTCCCCTACAAGAAGGCGCTGGCCATGGTGGCGGGGCCGATGGCGCCGCCGGAGCACCACTATCGCCGCGAGAAGTGCATCTGGGAGCTGAAGGTGGCCGCCCAAAGGGATCTCTGGCTGAACCTGGAGAAGGCGCGCTTTGCCGAGCGCAGCTGCGAGAGCGCCAAGATCGAGGTCTATCTGGCTGGGCGCTTGGAGCCGCGCTTCGTCGTCTGCCCGGACAACATATCGCTGGCCCGCGACTTGCCCATCCTGAGCACCGCCGAGCTGGGGGCCACGGGCGCTGACCAGGAGCCGCTGCCGGTGCTCATACAATACACGGGCGATGGCCAACCGGGCAAGAACATCTTTCGACTCGTCTGGACCGAGCTGTTCCACTTGCCCCGCAATCCCGACGGTAGTCTGGCCGCGTCCCTGCTGCAGGATGGCGACTGTGACTTCCGCTGTCCCGGCGACACGCAGGTCTGCATACCGCGCCACCTGCTCTGCAATGGCATCGCCAACTGTCCCAATGTGACGCACACCTCGACGCTGGCCCAACTAACGCGGCACATTGAGTGGAATCTGGAACAGCTCGGCCTGCTCCACCATGCCGCCGAGTACCGCCAGCTCGTCCTGCACGACGAGTCCCCGGAGATCTGCCTGCGCCGCGATCTCAGCCAGCTGCCCTACGGCAAACTCTCGCTGCTCGCCCTCGGGCTCTGCGCGATATTCGCTCTGCTCATCGCCATACTGCGACGCATGTGCCGAGGGGCGCCGAAGCAGCCAGGGCTGCAGCAGCTCCAGGAGGATTACTAAAACTCCAGCTCTCCCCTCCTCTCTCTGTTGAGTTGCTCTTGGCAAGGATTCAAGGGATTCAGTTATGGAAGCTTGCAGCCCCTTGAAATTGCAGTTTTAGTTCAATTTTTATTTATTTATTTTATTTTCTTTTCCAATATTTATTATAAAAAAATTCCACTGCCAATTGCCGTCAGTATTTCATTGAAAAAAAAATTTCTTCTCTCAATACAAAATAAATAAAAAAGAAAAAAAAGAATGAAAAAACATGCTTAATAGCAAGCACTTATATGTAAGTAGTTTTTGCAAAAACTGAACTCTATAAATTTCTCTCGTGACAGCTATTGAATAAAAAAAGAAATAATTATACGATAGACACTTCAAGCATACAAAAAAATAATGATTAACTGCCCTGAATAAATTAATTAAGCATAAAATTGTCACGTGATAATTGTTGGAAAGAAAAAAACAAAACAAAGGTAAAACGAAATACGAGCATAAAGAAACTAGAAACTAATTAAGGTAGACAGGTAAAATGGTAAAAAAAAAAGATATGACAGAAAAATACATATAAAAAATTGTTGGTGGTTTTATTAGTTAATATATGTATCAATAAAATAAAATTGAATAAAATACAAAACAACTTATAATTATTATCATTGGCAAATTGTCAATCTAAAAAAAAGAAAGGAAAACATGAAAAATAAAATAAAGTCGTACATAAGCAAATGCATACTTGAATAAATATGTATATAATGTACGATATACAATACATATATATATTTTTTGCACATAGATTTACCTAGACCATAAACGAAAAATGTAAAACGAAATGGAGATCAAATTGCATTTTAATTCGTGGTTCAAATTGTCCACAACTAAAAGTCAAACAAAAAACAAATTTTAATGAGAAATAAAATAAATAAATGAAAAAATAAAAAAGTAAAAAAATCCTTTAAAACTTTCCCAAATAAAAAAGTAAAGAAACTTGTAAAATTCAACCAAAAAATGGTTATAGAAAATAAGTCGTATTACTTAGATATAAGTGGTATTATTATATGCATAGAACGAGCGAGTCGAAGTGGCATTGCAGCGATCCAGAATCTGAAACGAAAGCCCCAGCGCGTATAAGCAAAGCCTATGTGCTCCATTCATTCATGTTCTTTGCAGTGTAATTAAAAAATTAATTAAACAGTTTAAATAATAAAATAGTTTTAATTTTCTATGAAAATATTTCCAAAAATGAAATCACATTTTTTTTTATTTTTATCGAAGAGAAATTTTTATTTTCGATTTTTTTTTTTTTAGTGAGCGAACAAAATATTACATATAATTTTTTTTTTTTAATATTTTCTTTTGTTTTGCATAAAAGTATAGAATTATGTTAATAAGGCTTAG